CTGAACCATGCAGACGTACGGCGCGAAGTAGACTGTTAACCGGGATCCAAACGATAAGTGAACTCTGAGCCTTCACACCCAGCGCAATCCAAACACCAGCAACACCGTAACCAATTGCTGCATCTGCAGTTCAAGGTTTCCCATTTGCCAAATAATATCATCGCGGCCAGGAGCGGTTGGGGTTGGGTGTGAGCAAGCGGTAATGTGTTGCGAAGCTGGGTTTGCTTTGAACATTTTATCTGCGGCCATTGCAGCTTCATTCCACGAACTGTTGTAGAGTACGGATAACACTTCCCGGATGCGTGGAGGAAGACGCTTCAACCAAAGCTGGCGGAGGGTGGCGTCATCAAGTACGCGGGTGCCGAAGAGTTGCCGCATGTGTCGCAACAACTGGGACGGGGTGCGGTCGCCGATTTCAACATCCCCAAACAACTCATCTAATCGGCGTTCACAAGACACAGCGGTGCGGGTGGTCAACGCTTCCTTTAACTGAGTGTATGGGTCATTCTCGGGTATGTTGATCACAAACTCAAATATCATGTTCCGCAATATCGGTGGGCAGGAAAAGGACTATGTGGGAATACAAATTCGTTTGAGAGCGGATGCAGTGGGCACGGAAATGGGCTTCGGCTTGGGAGAACCATAACCGGGGTTGTTAATACGAAATGCGAGTACTTTAATTTGGGAAGACATGGCAAGGTCCTCTATGTCAAGTTTGGATTTCTCCATGTGTAACACGTACAGTAAAAAGATATTGAAGTAAAATCCTTGAAGAACCAAGGGAACCGTGAAAAATAGGAAACTAGAGATAGTCTAAACACGAGCTCACCAAATATGTGGTGGAAAAGTTACTGGATATAGGAGTAATAATGAAATGAACGGTACATGGAACGGACTCACTGAAAGCTTGTTCATCTGGTTGATTGGTCCTGTCTTTTGGATGTGTGGATCCGGCTGAGGGTGTGCCGTATCGCTGAAATGGATGGCTTCGACAGTTAACGGAACGCTTTTAAATAACTGATAATTGTACACGTAATACTTCAGAAGCCCTCGGAGATTACGTGCGTAGTTTAGAACAGAATTTGTATTCTGATGTTTTTTGTTTTGCATATCAAGACAAGCTGTACAACCATGTCATATAAAAATGTTTCATGTTCCACAGATCCAGCTTTGAAGGTGAATCCGTGTACTGATAAGAATTCGATTAAAAGAGTGAGCACTGCTACCTGGTTAGCATAGGCTACGGAATTGAGCCAAAGGAGTCAAATGAAAACGAGATCAGAGGGATATCAACTAAGGCCAATTGGGTCGTGATACTTACAAAAGTATGTTCCGAAAGATGTCATGCCACACAGATCTAGCTTTGAACCTGAATCCGTGAACTGATAGGAATTTGGTTGATAAAGTGAACACTACTACCTGGTTAGCATGTGCCAAAAGAGGCAAATGAAAACGAGAACAGAGAGAATAAGGGTATGAAGCAACGGTACAAAATATTAATATAGGTGTGTGTCTAAATGCTTCGTGTACAGATCCGGCATTGAATCTGAATCCGTGGAAGGATTAGAATTCGGTTGATAAAAAGAACACTGCTAACTGTTTCACGGAATTGGGCCAAATAAGTCACATCGAAACGAGATGAGAGGAATATAAGTTACGGGATTATGAGTCACAATACTTATACGTGTATGTGCCGAGTTCTGTGTTTCTTACGATCTAGCTTTGAATTTGAATCAGTGTACTGATAAGATTTTGGTTGAGCCAGTGAATAGTACTAGCTGGTCAGCGTACGCCACGGAATTGAGCCAATGTAGTCTGACCAAATCGCGATTAGAGGGGCTAGGAATACGGAGCAATGTTTCAGAATACTTATAAAAATATGTGCCTGAATGTGTCTTGTACAACAGATCCAGCATTCAATCTGAACCCGTGAACTGATAGGAATTCGGTTGAGAAAGTCGTAAGGTCAGGTCAGGTATCGCAAGACGGAAAAGGCTTTCACCAACCAAGCGTCCGGATTCTTGCTTCGGTAGAAAGGTTTCTTCTCCAAAAGCTTCAAACTCGTTTTGATCGCTGTTTTACAACTGTTTTCTGGGAGGAAACTGGTTCCAGTACGATATCTGTAAGAGAGATTAGTTGAGAAACAAGAAACATGTCAAATTTAAACAAACGCTGCTATACTACCTCAGGGTATAGTTGGGTCCAAACAATGTCTAACTGCCTCTTGAAGTCGACTGTAGTCGCTGATTCCATCTATCAACCACTCGGTTCGTGTAGATGTTAAACCGCACACCGAGGAGAGCCCTAGGTTTTAAGAGCTTGATGACCTCTACGAGCGTTCGAGTGAATGAACTTTCGGCGCTTACGGCAGTGAATCCTTTCATTATCCAAAATGTTTCTATGAGGTCACGTTTAAGGAGTCTTATTTCCATAGAAAAGAGGTCTAACGCTACAAGTCTTTCTTCATATGATTTGCCCCTCATGCCCGAGATCATCCGAGTGGCTAACCTTTGAACCTTCTCAATGCACTGGATGTCTTTCTGAAGGTAATGTGCACAGGCCTGGACACGGTATTCTGGGTGGGGTCCCACCAGTATCTTATACAGCGAGATAAAGACTTCTGCCTTTGGAGCGGTCTGTGCATTTCTCAACAGGAATAGTTGACCTCCCGCCCTTTGTGCTACGGCTTTGCACTGTTCGTCTGGCTTGTAATTTTTGGAAACTACTATCCCTAAGTCCTTCTTTTGGGCTACGTACGTTAGTTCGATGGTTTCCGAGTCCGTGCTTACACTAATTGGATCGCCGTCAGTGTTCAATATGTGACACTTTGACGGGTTTAGGTCCAGGTCCCTTATCTGAGTCCAACAGATAATTTTTGTTAGGTCTTCCTGTGGTTGGTCTCGCGGGCCTGAGTTAACTAACTTTACCTCGTTCGCAAACACGAATGTCGGTATGGACAAACCCCTAATTAAGTCATCGACGTACGGCAGGCAAAGTACCTTTCCAAGGATGGAGCTCTATGGCACCCCACTGGTGACTTTCCCCTCCGTCGATAATGTCTCTTCTACCCGAACTCTGAAGGTCCATCTGTTCAAAATCGCCCCTATCCATTTAAGCAGAGTACCAGGAAGGCAAAGGTTTTCGAGCTTTTTAAGGAGTAATTGGTGGTTACCCGAGTCAAAAGCATTTCTAAAGTCTAAGTAACAAACTTCGACTTTTAGGCCTTCGTCCAACTTCCTTGTGACTTCATCTAGGAAGCACAATAGGTTGCTGAGACATGACCTGATTTTGAGGAACCCGTGTTGGGTCGAGAATAGAAGGTTGTAGTGCGCAATATGCTCACGTATACCGTTTCTAACGATTGTCTCAAGTCCTTTATAGAGGATAATAGTGAGACTTACTGGTCCATAGTTCTCTGGCGCCTTTATGTTCCCCCCTTGTGTATTGTCACAACTGTCGCCGTCCTCCAGTCTTTCGGTATCTCACCGAGTCTTGGGAATTTCTCGTATATTGCACACACGGGAGCCGCCAAAATCTCTGCGAGCTGCTTGACGATGGCCGGATGACGTCCATCACTCCTCGCTAATTAGCCAGATTTTAACTCAGTGAGTATGTTCAGAACTTAAGCTCTGTCTACCTGTAGATCGCTTATTGGAGGAGATCGTTCCTGTAACAAATGTCAAGGGTAGCTGCGCCAATCATGCATTTTATAGACGCTTCCAAAAAGTTTTGAGTACGTCGCACTTCTCTGCCTCCGACGACAATTCTTCCTCTGCGTGGTTTCGTAGGACCTCAATTGATTGCCTGAGGGCAGTCTTCGATTGTACATACGCGTAAAACCTTTTGGGATTGGTTTTAGCCTGCTGAGCGATCCTTAATTCCTGTTTAATTTTAGCTTGTTTCATAAGCTTGTTTGCGTAATTTTGGGCCACCTTGTAGGCCAACCACCCATGATGCTCTCCAAAGTTTGTATAGCCCCTCCATTTACGTCCCCTGAAAGTTACCGCTCTCTTTATGGGAGTCGTCCACCATGCAGGGCTTTGAGAATTCCTCTTCGATTGCAGTGGCGCGTATCTGTCAGTAACCCCTACTAGGCGTTCCCAAAGTACGCCCCATTCCTTCTCAACAGATGCCTCTTCGTTGGGAGACCACCAACTGGTTGAACCATCCTCCTGGAGTAGGCCAGCCACAATCATTAGACTGAAGTTCCTAACGAATTTGGATGGGAGCTTCTCCTAATTTATGCACATCCCAAACGTCATTACACTATGATCGCTCTTGCCCAGCGGGACTTCCATAGTCACTTCACTAACGTCGTCCTCCGCCCGGGTAAGCAATAGATTGAAAATGGACGATCTCTGCCCATATGTGAATAGAGTTGGTTGTCGAACATATTGATAAATTGCCTGCTCGTGGAAAAACCTTAGGGAATCCTCTTCAGAGGGACTATCGCCCACGTTAGCTTATTCCCAATTTATTTCGTGCAGGTTGAAATCGCCAACTATGATGGTCATCGCGGATTTCCTATGTAACGTGCTCAGTGTGTTTACAAGCTATCTGCCCTCTTCTGATCTAGTCGAGGGTGCTCCGTAGACTCCAAGGATGACGAAGTTTCGTCCCCGGTTCCGAATAGTGCATCCAACTGCTCGCACAGTGGGGGTGCACAGTCTCAGTTCAGCGGTTTCCCACTAAGCATACTGTTTCTTTACGAGAACGAACACTCCGGTTCCTTGAACTACCTCCCGGTCTGTCCTATACACAGCAAAGTCCGGGATGAGGTGATCTATGACATGTCTTGGATGTTACCACGCTTCGGTCAGAATGACATCTGGGCATTTGCTTTTCAGTTCTCCCCAATTATTTCCAACACTGCAGACGTTTCTATACAACATTTTAAAACTTCTTTGTCGCAGTGCTGGGGCCTCTGTTTTAGGCCATTTTCTTCATGAGTTCCCTCGGGTGCAGCACCCGAGAGCCCGGCACGTTTTTTACAGGAGTATTTAATCTCACACTGGTTTTGTTTCTCCGCGAATCCTCACAGGGATTAATTTTGGCTGAGCCTTCCTGTCAATGACTGTTTTCTCACAGTCCAATTCAGATTCATTCATATCGGGTTGAACGGAGGCATCGCTTATTAACAACGAGGCTCCTACCCGCAGATTTCTTATATCATCCCTTGGTCTCCTATTTTCGGGGGTCTGCGAACACCTAGATGTGGTGACAGGAATTATAGTTATGGTCATATCGGATGAAATCTCCTTTAGCGGCGTTGTTTTATCCCCCGGCCGCATTTTTGTTCGTCTGCTTGTTTGCTCCTGGTTTACCCCGGTGCTGTTTTATT